TCGAATAAAAAAGAACATAAAAATAATAAAAACGATAAAAAATCGAAAGTTACAATATTTCGGTAATGAAATTAGACATCTAGAAATGTATAACCTTCTACACCTCACAATACACGGTAGGATCGCCGGAAGGAGAGACCCAGGCCGACGAAGTACATCCTGACTCCGAAATCTCCAAGAATGGTATCAAGAGACCACAGCTTATTTATTTAGAGCCGTCATAAAGAAAGTTATTATTGCCAGTATGATCGCCAACGTTCTACAATCGGACAGGGTACTGAAAGAAGAAGAAGGTTTAAATATTCGTTCATATACTTTTAGTAGCTCCAAGGCCACACCTTACCGCTAATTTAACGTTTATCGACAAATACAATACCTACTTTGGGCAGTACTAACGCCCTTAGTTTTTACACAAGTGTTCGTCTCGGGTGCTATGTCAAGACTCATTGGCTTATAGCGTTCAATATGGAAATTATATCAGCCCAAAATGAAATATTAAAGATGATTCCAGAAATACATCTTAAAGTCAGAGCATGTGATACCAAAATTTGGTCTTTTATATCCGGAGGCAAGTTGGCTCTTGGTAGTTACGTATGTATGTAGTGCCATGCATCAATATCCAAAGGAAATAAATGATATAAGAAAATTATTAGTATTAAACAAGTAATGAAATATCTTGTTGAATAACGCTGTCCAGCTATGGAAACCTGGACAACATAGTAAGAGATAAAGTAGAAAAAGCAAATAAATTATGGCAGGATGTCAATTATTTATAACGCCAGTGTAAGACCAATAGTGATAGACGCATTAGAAACAAGATGCAACCACAACACAATATAGCTACGAATAAATCACCAATCCGTAGAAGAAGTATCGGACTACCGCGCAAAAGATGAAGTGACAATCTTTAACCCTTTGGCGGACACCGTAAAAATATTTGACAATGACCAAAACACACTTGCAAATTTATCGGTACTGTGATAACATTGGTTAAAAATTAACCTGTGGGGACAAAAAAGTACAAAATACTTCATATTGAAGACAAAAAATACATGACGGTCACAGCCGTCCTGTCCCATTAGAGTTATACAAATTTTCTTATTGGACAAGACGTCATGACCGTCATATTAAATGTTACCAAAATGCATTTATTGAACATAAACTACAAATAATAAATGAATTAAATACGGTATTTCAATAAACTAATACACAACATAATACAAACACAACACACAGTATAAGAAATTGTAAAAAACAAAATAAAAAAACTTATTTGCTAGTCTAAGTTCTCGTGCCACTTTTGAAAACATAATCCTGGACATAATGGTGGATTTTCATTACAATATTTACATCGCCAAAATATTTCTTTTCGTATTTTACTTCTAGAGCATTGACGACATCGTAAATAATAATTCTTGCGTCTCTATCCATCCGTACAGGAATCATTTCTTGATAATGGGGATGCCTAATTTGTTCATCATTCCTCCGAGTCATTTTCTTACGTTTACCTCCATGTATAGGACCCACTTTTACATAACTTCTGCCATCAGTCTGGTCAAGAGGTACACCAATAAAACTTTTTATAAGATGATTTCTAAAATCTAAGCTACTCATACATCGTTCTTGGCGGTCTTCTTTTCCCTTTCGATAAATAAAATAGGCATTGGCAATTGTTACGTCCAACAAATGAAACAACACTTTTTTATACACTATTTTATACCGAAGGAATGGTCCTTCGTGAACATGAGTAATATAAAATTAATTGATCAGTTCGATCAACGCAAGACAGATTGTGATTATATCAGTTATATCTTTTGGTTTTACTTTGGGCTGGTTAAATCTGTTGGTTGTTTCTATCAATGTCAGATGGTAACGAGTGGATATACTACAGACATCTCTCTTATCCTTCCATTTTGATACATAAACACGGTCTTGTCTTCTCCATATATACTGTCCTTTTCTTAGGTTCGCGCCATTTACAACTTTTGGATTGTCTCGTCTATTAGAACGTAAGGTTCCTGTGCAATATGTTCGTCTCTCTAATAATTTTTTGCATAAGCCTACACTGTTTTAAAAATTATCCATAAATATGTGGTGTCCTTTATTTACATATGGAGTAATCAGTCGAAGAACTAAATTATAGAGTTGTGGAGAAGTAGGGTCACGACCACGATCACATGCTGTCAAAACTTTACCTCTATAAATTTCGATATTTAGGACAAAGCCATCCGGTTTACATAATTCATAGAATTTAATTCCATATTTTGCCCTCTTGCTCTTCATATATTGTCGAAAAATTAATCTACCTTTGAATAATAATAACGACTCGTCCAAACATATATTTTCTTCAGGAGATAACGCCCTCTGGAAATTTGTAAGTAGACCATTTAGTAACTGTTCTACTTTATGCAGCCTACCGTTTCTATTTTCTGTCTCACAACTAAAACATCTTAAAATCTGTTCGAATCGTCGCCCACTCATTGTTGCAGACAATATGGGATGATAGTATAATGGATCATACGTAAAAAGTTTTCTTATAGATGCCATTTTTATTTGTCCTTGCAACATACATAGACCCAAAAAAATTTTTAGCTCCGTTAGGTCCACGTTTTTCCACGTACTTTTTCTACTATATTTTCTGTGAGGTCTGGACTCTCTCGTAAGTTTGTTGCCATATCTATTGGTGGATTGTAATATCATATTCATGATTTCCTCGGTCCAAAGCATTTCAAAAATTTGAACAGGTGTGACATTTTCTGGTAAATCAAGTTTAACACCCGCTAAATTTCATTTTCAACCCAATTTTCCTCATCATTTACTTCCTGATCTATATTTTCAATCTCTTCAGAATCACTGCTGGAATTTTGTATTGCTGGTAATTGCCTTAGTTCATCACCATTATCATCAGTATTATCTAACATATAAATAAAAGTTAGACACAAATTCAATATTCAATTAAACACAAATTTTTTTTTCATAAAACTAACTCTACCTTAGTCATTGTAACGCGACAGGCAGTGAAATCTGAGGTCTGATTTGATAAAATAAAATAATTCAGAAAATATATGCATAACTTTACTAGAAGTGATATTCGTGTTGCACCAATTATACATATACATATTATATGTATATAGGATTTTGTTATTGGCTATCTATGTATATACACATTATGTAAATATTTTGTACTTACCACTACTCTCATCTGTGTTGGTATTGGAAATATAATCACCTGAACTGTCGCTATTTCCAGATAAATTAGCATTTTGTTCCTTATTACTTCCCCCATTATCATCAGAACTGCAACTGCTTTCTGATAAATGCAGATGACTTCGTTTTTTACCGAATTCCATTTTTTTTAACTTATTTATTGTATTATTCTGCTAACAACGTTCCACCTTTGCAATTATGAACGAAAATAGGGAGTTACAGTCGTAATAGCCGTATAGAGTGTCGTCATATACCGATTTATACCGATTTCCCACCATGTGCACTACTGTGGGATTCCCACAAAATTAGAAGTATTCTTATAGGACGCCGGATTCTCATAGATAGGAAAACACTTATATTTATCGTCGGTCGGGACCGTCTTGACTCTGAGAGCGATTCAAATAGCGACTGCTATGACCGTCTTGTCCCAGAATGCCGATAATTAACCGACGGTCAGGACCGTCTTGTCCGCTAAAGGGTTAATAGAGGTATAGCGACAAGCTAATTACGAATAATTAAACTTTTGTATTCAAATATTAAATAAAACAACATAATAGGTTGTACACATAATAGAAATGAAATAAAAATTGAAATGTGTTCCTTAATATATTTATTTAAGTACCACAGATATTAGATATGCTCGACACTTTAATTAAACATTTTGAGTACGTTGCATTTTTATGGGGAACAAAATATAATAATAGCGAGCAGCCCTATAATAAAAGTTTATCATCTGGCTTTTAAAATCAGAGAACGCGTGTTTGTAGTTTAAGTTTTCAGTAATCTTCAAGTCACAATTCGGATCGGTCCGCGATACATAACAAAAAAATACCTTCCCTTCTATAATTAATTACGTATTGAAAACAAATATTATTAACAGCTTTTTCTACGTTTTATTCAATTTTACTAATTTTATTATTTTGTTTCCGTGGTGGTAATTAAGTTTATCACACACGTATCTACGCAACCACGAAACAGAGGCATCAATCCGCCAATGAACAAGCAGAATTGCGTATTACCAGGAGTAAAGAGAAGACAATTATTAGTTTACAACCATTAGTATTAGATGCTTTGTTAAATGCAATAATTATATTTTGTATTAAAAAGTATTTACAATAAAAGCATTTTCATAAATCTATATACTAGGTGTATCAAAATAAGGGGACGCTCGAATATTTCGTGAAATATACATTGGATCAAAAAACATAAAAAACGTGTTTAATATTTTTTTAAAATTAATCGAATGACATCATTCTTCAACAAATTTTTGAAAAGTATTAAAAACATGTTTTTTGTAATTACTATTTAAATGAGAATAAGAAACAATTCAAGGTTAAAGTAAGTTTATTGACGTTTCAATTTACACTTCGGAAATCGTTCTCAAAATACAAACATTAGTATGTATTTTGTATTTTATCACTAATGTTTGAGAACGATTTCCGAAGTGGAAATTGAAACATCAATAAACTTACTTTAACCTTAAATTTTGGCTTATATCCATTTAAATAGTAATTACTTTAAAATGCCACAAGAAAATAGCTTCAGAACAATATGTTTTTCAGTTTTCCGATCCATTGTAAATTTCGCGGAATATTCGACAGTCCCATTTCTTTTGACACACCCGATATGTGCTCTAGCCTAATGTTGTCTTGGATCCGTCCGCTATGTAACTAATTGTTTTAAAAGAATGAGACTGTTAATTTCTTTCACTTAATATAAATTGTTGCTACTTTTTTAATAGAGTCCTTAAGTTTAATTAAATAATATCTTTCTATTTATCATGACTTTTTAAGCAACTGGGTTGGATTTGCATAAAATAATCCCTGTTATTTGCGGCACATGCATTTTCTACACTGCAATCGGAGGACTCAAGGCTTTGGTATGGTCCGATACTTTACAGTTTTCAGCAACTCTTGGCGCACTGTTGACAATATTGGGTCTTGGTTTGTATAAAGTAGGAGGCATAGGGAAAGTAATGATGTTAGCATATTCAACTAACAGGTTGGAC